AGTATCACGAAGCGTAAACGGTTTACCACGAAGCTCGAAAACCATTTCTGAAAAAACATTTCTATCAGTTTAGTTTCCGACCACGTAGAAGCTGCCGTTTCATTGCATTTTCGCCTTAACAAAAAGGCTGGATTCGCTCTGACCAAAATTGCAGCACTCCTGATGGTCAGTTAGCGTAAATTCGACACCCTGACGCGACTAAAAATCACGACTTTAGAAACGTAGTTTTTCATTCTGCAACTGAGTTGTTGCAAAAAGAAGAAGGAGCGAGTAGCAAGGAAACGAAGATGGCGGCTAAACCCCCTTCGCCTTGCTCAGTTGCCCTTCGGTTCCCAGTGATATGCAAATGTCCCGCCTCCCGGCTCGAGTTTCCCCCTCCGTAATATTTAATGTGCTGATTAGAAATGAAATGGACACTGTTTTTGTGCTTCAGCTTGGAGCTGCTGCTTGTTTTGTGCGCTTTTTCCGCAGCTGCCCAGGCCCTCCTCCTCATCTCTACAGAGTGCTTCGCCTCCTAGCGAATATTATTGACTTTTTGATGCGTTTTTGCACATCTATGCAAATGTAAAAATAATTTGGATAAGACCTGGAAAATTATGAAACTAACTTCGAGCTTCACGCCGTGTTCTCTTTGGACGTTCAGAAGGACTCTTTTCCTGCTCTTCCGCGCTACAAAACAGTGTGTTGAAAAGATTAAAAATTTATAATGCGAAAAGACAAAAAAGGGAAAATTGTTGATAAGGCCAACCTACCTTTTCGCCCGACTTCTGGCCTGCATTCCGGCTGGAATTTCACCATTTCGTAGACCATCCAATAGATTTCCGAAGCGTGTGCGAGCAAATTTCATGTCCGGCGACTCGGGCCCATCATCGTCTTTCTGCAAAATACACGTACACGTATGCGGATTTGGAGGTCTGGGGAGGATGGCACCGAGTCCCTGGAGTGGCGGCAGTTGGCCAGGAACCCACAGGCAAAATTTCAGCAACGAAGCTTACTTGGTTGCCGAATTGAAATACCCGGACAGACATACACATATACACACATATACGCAAGCAAATGTGTGTATATGTGCGCAAGTGTATAGATACACATATACACACATATACGCAAGCATACACACACACACACACACACACA